AATGACCTCATTAGGTGTTGTACAGACAGGAACCCCCACACTTGGTGCACTTTGGGAGTAGCAGTACTCCCGTTTCTTCAGTTGAGGAATACTTGGAGGAGAGGGATCTAGTGCTAGAGGAGTTGAAGAGGCATTTACTGAGAGCTTAGCAAATTATGAAGAAACAAGTGGATGGACATAGGAAGAACATCCAGTTTTGAAGTGGGAGAGAAGGTGTTCTTGAAACTTCGACCATATAGGCAGAGGACAGTCTCCCACAGGAGGAATGAAAATATGTCTCCAAGGTACTATGAGCCTTATGAAGTACTGGAGAGAATTGGGGTAGTGGCATATCGACTGAAATTACCACCATCGGCGATGATACATCTTGTTTTTCATGTCTCGTAGTTGAGGAAGGTTATTGGTGTCTACACAGCCAACCCCGAGCTACCTGCGATGCTTACTGAGGATTTAAAGGTGGTTCTGGAATCCTTAGAGCTGATGGGTATGTGCCAGAAAGAATATGGAACTAAGGAAGTGTTGATCCAGTGGAAGAACCTCCTTGATACGAGGCCACGTGGGAGCCATACGAGAGGACGAAATAGCAGTTTCCGGATCTTCACCTTGAGGACAAGGTGGCTCTTTTGGAGGGCGGTAGTGTTACGTCGGCTCTGGCTGAACCGGTCCAGTTGGTCATGGGGCCGATTCAGCATGTTTACTGGAGGCTGAAGTAGCCCGCCTCCTTCCTCCCTTTTCTGCCAATTGGGTGGGCCCCATTTAGCAAAATGTTTTCAAAAGGGAAAAGGGTGGGTCGGCTTAGGCTTGGGGAGGAAAAATTAATTAGGAAACCTTTTGTATTAAAGTGCATGAGGGAATTAGGGAGTTTTCATGTTTTAATTGATTGAGAATTAGGGTTTCTTAGCGTTTGGGTTCTAGACTCTCTTGTCTAGAGATTGGGAGAGAACGATCCTCCTCTCATATTGAGGATCTATTGTATCTTGCTTTGTGTTAGTTTTGCTTTGCTTCCCTTATTGCAATCTATCGTTTTTGGGCTGATTTTGCCCATATTTTACTTATTTATTATTGTTTTTCTCCAATTAGTGATAGGTTTGCTTGCGAACTCAAGTATTCCCTTAGGGTTACTTGCGAACTCAAGTATTTCCTATCAGATTTACCTCAACCCAGCTTCCCACCGACCTACTTCTCCGATCAAAACCCGACGCCCAAAATCCTCCCCCAGGCCGCACTTGAAACTGCCAGAAGGCTGACGCCCCATTCGATCCATCTACTGCAACAGACCACTCAAGCGGCTAAATCCCTTAAATCCCCAACGGAGCTCCCCCATCCCGTCGCCTCAAGTGTCGAACCTCATCCTAGCCAAAAATTCAGCTGCCTCTACTCTCCTCCAAACCGATTCCTTCCCCTGTCCGATCCCCACACTCGACCCAACTCACCCAGCCGACGCGAAGCTCCACCTTACCCGACCCATTTTTGCTCTCTCTCACATAGATAAATCAGTTGCTTTACAACACTTCTACAATCAACATTAGAACACAAGCAACCATATTCAACCTTCCAAGCAATGAAATAAGAGGGGATGTATAATTTGACCGCGAACAAATATACATGCAATAATTCCTACGAGCACTAGAAGACATGCAAGTAGATGTGATAGTTCATCAATCAATAATACATAAGGAAATCAAGAACATATACAAGCACCTACAAGCTGTGTAGTAGAAGATAATAGATGTTACATCATCCTTATAGTCAACCCATATAAAATGTCAATCAAATATGTTGATCATTCGCAAGCAAAGATGAATGACATATAAGAAATGTAGGCTCTTACGAACGAAAACAGGAGATTCGTTAGTGCATTACAATCCACCTGCAAAAAGCAACAAGTAGTGCACGACAGTCTACCTGTACAAAACAAGTAGATGACAAGTACAACGTCACACCACCGGATCCACAATATCCTTACAAGTGGACATAAGGCATGTACGAGCATCCAAATAGAATGGTGCATTCAAATGAGGGTTTCCCACACAACTGAGCAGAATCAAATATTCCAAAAATGCCCCCGCACATGCATTGTATTATGTATGCACATAAGTACACAGAAGGGCAGCATGGGCCCCAACGAGCATGTTGTAGGAACACACGTGACGTCTAGTGATGTTGTGCGGGTTAATAAATTTGAACCCGATCATCATAAAATGGTAAATAGGAGTCAACAAAGTTCAACAAATAATTATAAAATTCCCCCAAAAACTCGCATGGGGCTCGACGAGCGTGTTGTAAGAACACATATGACGTTTAGGGATGCTGCGCGAGTCAATAAATTTGAACCCGATCCTCTTAAACAGATAAAAAGAAGTCGATAAGGTTCAAGAAATAATTACAAAATGCCCCCAAACACCTGCATGGGCCTTGGCGAGCATGTTATTGGTACACACGTGACTCTAGGGATGCTGCGTAGGTCAATAAATGAACATAGTTCGAGCCCAATCCTTCTGTATGGATAGATAGGAGTCAACACAGCTCTAATTATCAAACAAATATACGGTCAGAGTGTCGACTGGAATATCTGCTTTATACGTTTATATAAGGCCTTCAAGGCCTCCAACAAGGAAGATTCATTAACAAAATCACAAAGCCAGTAACGAACCCGATTCTCTGTAGACAAATTGGCAGAGTAGGCAAGGTTCAATCCATAAATAGAAATAACCTCAAATACCCCGTTGATGGTCGTGTTGAATGCAAAGCTCAATCGTAGGGGTTAATTTCGAATATTTTAAAATGCCTTCAAACTTCCATAAAATTCAAATATTTTCAAGTGTACTCAAAGTTACCCTGATGATGGCCGTTTTGAATGTTTATCTCAACCAGATTGGCTCACAAACACTTTTAAATGCCTTTCAAGATCTAGCCAAATACCCACAAAAATCTAAAAGTCCTAAAAAATCATCAAAATCCAAATATTTAAAAATTGAAATTAAACTATCAAATGCTTAAAGCAAAATTCATCAACTCTCTGCAACAGTTTGTCAGGGTGGACAAATTAAAATTTACTTCAGCTCACATAGACTAATGACTAGCTGAAAATATCAATAGGATTCATTCTTAAATCATCTCTTGGCAGTAAGGACATGGTACGTGTCTTCTAACAGGCGGTTTTGCCACCAAATGACATGGTTGGCACCGCATGATAAACAGTTATGACCCGGGTCCCTTTGAATCGAGTGGTTTTGTCGCCAAATGGCAACATGAGATAACAATTATGGTTAGAGCCAATACGTTCCTTAGTGACATCAAATCCTTGAGATATGAATCAATAGGATATAATCGATAGGGCACAAAACTCTCTGTTAGCTATGGTGGATTCGAATTTGTTCCCTTAAACAAACATTCACCCTAAGTCTACAAGGTACCCTTGGACGAAGCAACCCATGACTGACGAGAAGGATCCTTCCGTCAGGCTGGGTCGACTATCTCCTCTGACTAAGTAGACCAGGGACTATGATGGCCCGGGACGACAAAACTATGAGATCTTGATCGGATCCATTATCACTCCCCCACCATTCACTTTAAGTAAAAGATGGTGAAATTTTCAATTTTAAATATAAAACCTTCAAATTTCCAAATTCTCAAACCCATGCTGCTATTATATGCCAGATAACACGTATTTCTACATATCTGATTGATGACTAGCTTTAATCGAAAGTTCTCTCTCGTTATCGGGAGGGTTAATTAACTATAGGGCTTGCGTCTATAGAAAACCAGAACTCAGATCATAAAGCCCTCACAAAATGAGGGCGAAATCTCTGAGTAGTGTCTTATCTACAAACTCATCCGTTTTCCCAAAATTTACTCCGGAACTTAATTCTGTTAAAACTCCCACGAAGAAAAGCAGGGGGGAGGCCGTGGCTGAATTTTCAGAGCCCACAATAGAAAGCAGAATTTTGTGGCGTCGTCAAGATACAATGAAAACATCCAGTTTCTTGTCATGTTTATTTGAGAAATCAAGCCCAATTTTTCATCTTTAATGCGACTAAACACCATCTTTGATGGAAATCTTATATACCTTCTCTTGGACTTGCCCAACACTAAGTAGATTGCTTTTTAGATCTGGAACAAAGTAAACATTTGACATAATCTAATTGAAGTTTTCTTTGCTGTGGATTTTTATACTTTACCTGTGACAATAATTTTAGAGCTGTCGCCAAAGGTTACAGTGTTATGGAATGATTCATCTAAGTTTGAAAACACTAACTTGTCTCCACCCACATGGTTGCTACAAATTGTATCCAAATACCACAAGTTATGATGGGCTTCTTCCTTTGCAATGCATGTCAGGAAGAAAGATTTCTTCTTCTTTCTCTGCAAAGTTTGAGTTCACACCATGATCTTTGCTGAGATTAGTTCTACATTCAAATTGTAATGGTCATACTTGTGACATCTATAACACGTGACATTTGAGTTGTCTAAATACTTCGGTTTGTAATTATTTGAATGATTATTGTCTCACCCTTTTGCTATCCATTTCGAATATGTAGCATGATCCTTGTCTAAATTTTTTTGTGCCCTTCCATTTCCCTTTCTTACGACCAAAACCTTTTGAATTGGCTATTGCCTCAAAGTTTTTTCATCCAAGTCTTGTTGGACAATTTTTTTCCCAACGAGCTAAGAACTTTGCAATTTATCTATTGAAAGTGCATCAAAATATTTTGAGTATTCAATGGAACAAACAACAAAATCGAATCTTAGGGTCATCGACCTACGAATATTTTCAATGATGGTTTTCATCTTTGCACCATGGATCTGCATCTTGTTAGCAATTGTCATTGCTTGATAAATTATTTGTAACTGACTCTTCTCAACTTCATGTGTCGTACATGGCTTGAAGTCCAGGGAACTCATTTATCTATTTCTAGATTATGTTTGTATAAGTTTTTTTATTTACATGTCTCCTTATTTGTTCTAATTGTTAACACAATAATGATCAAATTATGCAGAAAAAATAATGCTGCCTGATGTTCCCATTGCTCTAAGGCTCTCAGGACATCTGCTTATTGGGATTGTTAGGATATATTCATGGAAGGTGAACCACCTCTACTCAGACTGCAACAGGTTGGTTACTGATATAAGGAAGGCCTTTGCATCAGTACCAGTTGATCTACCTATCGAAGCAGACCATGCTCCATTTGAGTCAGTGACCTTGCCAGAGACATTTGATCTTAATGCTTTAGAGTTAGATGAATCTTACTATAGAACAGCGTAAGTGTCTTACGGGGATTACTTTCAGCGGTTGCTTGGTTCAGTATTATTTAATTTGCAATATTATTGCAATGTAAGTGCTATCAAGCTGCCAATTTTATCTATTAAATAGTGTTTGGTTTAGTGTTTAAATTTTTAAAATTGTTGTTTAGATTATTTTTGTTTAGCTTGATTAAATTTTAAAGTAAGTTCAATAACATGCCCCACATAACCTATTCATTTTTACTATGTTTAAAAAATACTTAATTTTCTTAGGAATAAAAATGTTGAAAGAATAACAGATTTCCAGGTGATTTTTAGTTTTGGAATAAAGATATTTTGCATACTCTTAATGCTTAAGCTAGAGAAACATGTTTTCTGCGACACTATGAAATTTTAAAAATTATGGTTCCGACTGCATCTATAGAAAACATGCTTTTCTTGTTCTTGATTAAGTTTCCCTTAGAAAATAGCTCCCTTGATGGACTACTCTCCAAAGTTAGAAACCTTATTTTTGTGGCTTTGCCTGCTGGGAGAAATTGCAAACACTTCCAAGGTATGACAATATAATCCTTACAGCATCGTGGTTTCGTTGTCTTATAGAAGCCAAAAAAACATTTATTTCATACTGACAAAAAAAAAAAACAAATGAATAAAAAAAAAAAAGAAAATCACGCACCTTAAGATGACTTATGTTGCCCATGCTTGTGGACCAAACACCTTCAGTTTCATGAGCTTCTATCTTCTTTGAAAGGGGTTTAAATTCGTTGATACTTTTTTTGTTTTCAGTGAACCTGATAAGCATGTCAAGTCACATGACCAAATCACCATGACAGGTTTGTTTTTGGCTGTCGCTTTAGCACTTCCTTATTAACATCTATTTTTTATGATAATGCAATTAAATTTAAATAGTTTTTAATCCCATTTGCAGATCAAATTCCAGTGGAAGAAGAACAATATGTGGCTGTTTCTGTCAGCGAGGTCTTATTTCTTTTATCTGATTTATATCTTCTTCATTTCCTTTTTCTTTAAGGATTTTAATATTATCCGTATTCTTCCTCAAATACATAGGAGAATGGGCTGAATCTATCACCTAGACCATCAAATGGGTTGAATCTATCTCCTCGTCCAACAAATGTGCTGATTTCATCTCCCCAACCAACAAACATAAGCCCGGTTTCCAGGCAACTAGAAGAAGAGTATTGAACACCCACAAAACCTTTAATTTTCTTTAGTACTATGTGATTATAGATGATTCATACTATCATTTTTTTTCCTTCAGCACTCTACCTCCTTTTGAAGCTGGCTTTGAATCCATTTTAAGCCCTCGGGGACATAGCTTTTTAAGTAGTAATGCCCCAAATGAGAATGAAGTAACGTTTAATAAGGCTCCTGATGGAAACAGTACACCACAAGGAACTCTGGATGTTGAAATTATGCTTAGTGAACCTGATCATCCCCATCAAGATGTTCGTGCTCCTGGCGACATTCAAACTGACCAAGTGTCCAGTCAGACAATTAACAAGAGACAAAGTCTCTCAACAATACCGGAAGATATATCAATTCTTGAAGGGGGATCTTCCCATTGTGCCGAACAGCTGGTTAATATATCTTCAAATAAACTCAATTTTCCTGACCTTGAAACATCGGCTGGTTAGTTTTTCTTTCTTAATATACAAATGAGACATAGGCTTTGTTTGGGATGACTTTCTTACCGCTTCTTAAAGCAGCTTTCTAGTACAAAAGTTTTAATTTTTATGCTAAAGAGTTGCTTTAAGAAGCAGTAAAAATACCATCCCAAACGAAGCCATAATTTGTCTTTTTTATACATGCCATCCCTCATGGTGTGCACATCGTTATTGGCTAAGCATTCATTTCCCTATATGTGCTCTTTGAAGGATGACAAATGCATTCATCAATTGCCTGTTACAATTGAATTCTTGCTTGTGGCAGTGATACCTTCTCCTGTTTTAAATCCGAAACCTGCTCCTCCTGTCAAGCGGGGAAATGTGAAGAAAAGGAAAAAGATTCAAGCTTTTGATAGACAAGTGGTCTTGAGCAACATGTTAGTTTTGGCTCTTATGCAGTGAAGCACTCTTTTAGCTTTTTTTTCTTTTGCTAATTATTTTTAAAATCTATCTGATTTTGAGATGATTCGTGTCCTTTATGTTAATTTATTAAGTTAAATTGGCATTTTGCAAATGCTTGAATTAGTATGCTTCGTTTAGCACCTAAAATGTTTGCTTTTGGCGCTCATGATGTTTTCTGACAATTTTACATATGGCTACACATTCTTGGTATTTTTTTGTTGTGAGGGATGTATATAAACGAGCTAAGAATTTCTTTGAATCTATTAAACATCCTTGATCCATCCATGTGGAATCATTTGATTTGCATGAATGGAAATTTTTAAGAACTTGATTAGATAAATTGAGTGTTTTTGTTTCTATCATTAAATTATATGCATAAAAGACAACGTACCATTGATGGTTTTATTAGATCAAAAAACGTCCTCTATTCCTAGTATAGAGGACTGATGTGTCATCAAAAAATTATCTTGATCGGACACGAATCTCGAGGCAAAAATCTATTTGGAAACTTCAAAAATTAAATCTAGGATCATATGAACTCCAATTTCAGCAAAATTGTAGTCAAACTGAGCGTCTTGGAAATATGAACCCAATGACACCAAATTCAACTCAATACGAGCCCAAATGAGTCTGAATCGAAAACCCGAAGCATTGTTAGAAGGTTCAAACCACAATTTGGATTACCAAACAGTTTCAAAACATGACGTCCTTATAGTCGAAGTGAGCAGCTCGATGAGACAAATCCAACGAGCCTAAGATTGCCGACTTTCGACATTATTAAGACCTTCAAATGTCTGATGAACGGTATACGATCAAGGGATTCAATATCGACCGTCCATCCAACCACTCCCCATTTACCCATGATCTCTCACCTATTTACGTGCTATGTCACTCTCAGAAAATTATAAATAGCCCATCATTTCTCTTAAGAGGGCCCCAAGTAAGAAGCAAGAAGAAGAAGAAGAGAAGAGTAGGATGAGAAGAAACTCCTCGACCACTGTCGATATTCTGCCTGACTTTTACGGGACGTCGGGATTTTGCCCGACTTTCACGGGACGTCGAAATTCTGCCCGACTTCTACAGGACGTCAGAATTCTGTCCGATCTCCAAGTGACTCTGGAGTTTTGCCCGAATACCATCTAAAGCCAGAGTTCTTCCCGGCGCCCGACTAATGTTGAACTTGTACCCGACACTGGACCTTCGCTCATCGCTAGATTTCTACCCGACTTCTTCCTTTTGACCTCCATCGTCAAACAATGGTCCTTCCAACCTCTATCGCCAGACAACGATCTTTTGACCTCCGTCGTCCCTTCCCAGACACTGACTGAATCTCATAGGATCCAGGCCCCTTATGCCTCCCTTTGTGCTCACGGCACCAGAACAGATGTGCTTATAGCACCAGAACAGAATTCATCGGATTCGGAATAGAACAGATATCAGATTTTAGATTTGAGCTCATTTCAGAATTCTCAGACACTAACTGAATCTCATAGGATCCAGGCCCCTTATAACTCCCTTTTTATAGCATATACAGATAGCATATTAATTCAGAAGAAATCTGGACAAATCAGAAATCAAACAAAAAATCGGGCAGCACAACGGCAGTATACGGAATTTACACAATTTTTCCTGAAAATCACAATTTACCAAATTCGTACAGAATGTAGATAACAACATTTCAGAACATTTATTCTACTGCATAGACAATTTTCAATTTCACAGAAAAATTCAGTCGACGAAAAACACCGTCGAATCAAAATATCCGGACAAAAATCTTCAGAAAATAACCAAAATGTGCACACTCGGCACGTCAACAATATACAGAAAGTTACGCGGTAAAAACTGAACCGATCGAAAGATACGGACGAAAATCACTAATGGAAACAAAATCCGGATAGAAAATACCGCCAAACACAACGGTTCTGAAAATTGAGAAAGGCGGAATGTGCCTTACCTTGCGTACAACAATTTCTCGAACAATCTCGTCGGACGAAAACGGCTCCGCGTCGTCCGAAAATCAACTTTTTCCCAAAAATCCGCGACTTTCTCTCTCCTCAGAAAAATCAGATATTTTTATAAATTTTCTCTCTCTTCAAAACGACTGATTTCAGCTTTATAATACACAGATCGGCCCGGCCGATCGCCAGATCGTCCCAGGACGATCAGACCAAATTTGATCGTTCTGGACGGTTCCCAGGACTATTCTCCGGCCGATATTTTGAACAGTGCCAATCGGCCTGGACGATGCCTACAGGAAAACACCTGGAACACATCTGGGCAATTTCTGGAGCAAATTCTCAACTGATCGTCCCAGGACGATCCCAGATCGTCCTGGACGATCCTGGAGCAAATTTTGATATTACACCATGCTACTCTCATAAAATTATAAATATCCCCTCATTTCTCTTAAGAGGGGCCCAAAGTAAGAAGCAAGAAGAAGAAGAAACAAGAAGGAGAGAATAGAAGAAAGATAGGAGGGAAGAAACTCCTCGGCCACTGTCTGTGTTCCGCCCAACGTTCAAGTGATGCCGGAATTCCGTCCGACTTTCACGGGACGTCGGAATTTTGCCCGACCTCCACGGGACGCCAAAATTTTGCCCGACTTCCATGGGATGTCGGAGTTCCGCCCGACTTTCGAGTGATGCTGAAATTCTTCCCGATCTCTAAGTAACGTTGGAATTCTGTCCGATCTCCAAGTGACTCTGGAGTTTTGCCCGAATTCCATCTAACGCTGGAGTTCTCCTCGGCCGGCGACTGATGTCGAACTTCTACCAAACACCGGACCTCCTCTCATCGCTAGATTTCTACCTGACGCTTTCGTCCTTCTGACCTCCGTCGTCAGACAACGGTCCTTACAACCTCCATAGCCAGACAACGGTCTCTATGACCTCCGTTGCCCGTCAACTACTTACATCGCCTACTGACTACAGTCCTTCCGACCAAACAAACATATCAACAGTGATTCTTTATATTTCCACCATATAATGTACTCTATAAGATGTACATCAAGTGAAGACCTTCCCCCAAAGAAGGGCCTCATTTGTAATCAACTGCAAATACTAGTGGATTCATTCAAACTGGGCTATCCCATGGTTTTCCCCCCTTTTTAGGGGTTTTCCACGTAAAAATTTCAGTGTCTCATAAATGCTACACACTCTCTCTTATCTGATTGCGTGCTGGATTTTCGTACAAAGTTAAGACGTTAAATTTCATATTTCTCTACCGCCGCGAATACTCCAGGACGCAACAAGGACAAAATTTTTGAGCTATTGATGCTTCAAAATATAAAGACAAACCACAATAGTCAGATATGATAGTTTGAATTATTTCCTACCATAATGAAAATCTAGCTATTAATTGCTCCCTGTAATGATAAATGATGAGACGGTACGCTATCCTATCACCCTCAGCAGTTTGTCATCTTCATGGAATTAATAAAATACAACTTTTTAACATCTCTATCAATGTTTTTATCCACTTTAAGGTTTAGACTTTAAAGTGCTGCAGTTTTTAAATTTATAATTCAGATATTCTACAGTTTGCTGATAACTGTTGGTTGCCGACTAGAGATCTACATGAAACTTAAGGTTTGGTGTTTAGTTAACAATGGAGAATCAACGCATTTTAATTATAAGGATGATAAATTTTGTATTTGAGTCAATTCAACTTCATTCTTTCATTGTGGTGTGGTAGGTTCGGTTTCTTCCCATCAGTCCTTGTAGTATTCTCAATCGCGTCAACAGAATTACATATTTGTACCTAAAAAATTGTTAACTGTTATTGGCAGTTATGATTAACGTGCTTTCTAATATGTACATAGTATTAGTCGTAAGTAGAAGCCACAGACCTAGAGTTAGCGTGGCTTTTACTAGAGAAGGGTTAAAATAATGGGAAATTATTCTGTGTGGAGTCCAAAGGTAGAGCATTGCTATACATTATGTATGTGCTGCGTATACACTGCTTATGTCCTGCGTATACGCTATATTTATAGATATGAGCAAATAAGCAGCCAATAAACATCAAATCAATAATACTCACTAAATACCTGCGTATCTACAAATACGTAGTATATACGTAGCATCCGAATGATGCTCTACCTTTGGACTCCGCACAAAATAATTTTTCGTGCATTTCCCTAAAAAAAACCAACCCAACCCCCTCCAAAAAAAAAAAAAAGGAATCATAGATATCAAATAAATAGCTGGGATACACGTACAACGTTAATGATGATGAGAAAGGGGAGATGGAGGAATTAAGTGAACTGTGTAATACACGCTTGTTTCTTTCTCCTTCCTATTCAGCGAACTTAGAATATTGCTTGCGTTGCTATTCCTTTTCCCATCCAATATGATACTTCTTCTGTGAAATTTAATTTTAATGTATTTTGCTAGTTCTCAGTTATTTTGTTGAATACAAATAGATGTTTGTGATGTTAAAATTGAATGCAATGTTTACAGGCAAATGAAAAAACAACTTAGTGAAAGTGCCAACATTGTTTGTAAGAGAAGGAAACTTCCTTGCTCAGACTTGAATGTCTGGAAGTTTCAGAGGATTCGTTTGAAGGAAGACATTTTTGGCATTTCATTGCTTTCTAGTAAGCCATGCAATTTTATGTTTCCTGTTGCTAAAAATTATTTTCTAGGTGTAATCCTTCTGATGATATGCACTATTTTTTTTTCTGCGTAGGAATGCACACTACTCTTGTTGAAGTTCTTGAGAGAAATCCTTGCTCAGCTACCAATAATATCACCTTAGATACTCCTGGTCCCTCGTCTCAAGCACCTAAAGGCGCTGTGCCTGAGAAAGAGATGGGAACCATGATGATGGATGCAGAGCCTACAACACCAACAATTGATGCCTTTAGTGGAATAGAAAAGGGGCGGGATGGTGATAACATAGAAGACCTAATTGCACAGTTTCCTCTAAATGAAAGCGGTTTTGGTTCAAAATCTGACAAAGACAACAAAGACAAGAACTCTGAAACTCTTTTGAGGTCAGCTGCTGGAGTTCCATCTCCAGTTGAATCCATCAGGCTCAATCTTGAAACTCCTCCATTTCATTTGAAAGATCGTCTAGATGACATGGAGATCCCAGAAGCTCCTGGCTTGTTAGATTCTGCCGATGAAGTAAGATTAAAATTAATGCTTGCAGTTCTTTGGCAATTTAGGCTACGTTTGGGACGGTTTTCTTACTGTTTTATACAGTAATTTTTTAGTAAAAAAATTAAAAAATTTATATTAAAAAGTTGTTTTAAGAAGCAATAAAAAAACCATCCCAAACTAATCCTTAATCTTCAATAAAATAAACTATTTCCAATTAACAAATTTGAGTGGGCATTTGTAGGAACTAAATTTTTTGAACGCTAACGACGCATCACCAGGTGTGTTTCAAGTCTCCCCAACCTTGAATTGTCTTTGTTTGTATGTTTGTAACTTTGTTCGGTTGTTCCTCTTGTATTGAAAAAAGAAGTTGAACTTTGACGTTCTGATGTTTGAAAATCCTACCTGTGTTTTAATATGCAGGGCTTCACGATGCATTTAACGTTGACAACTTGTCTGCTCGGACAAGGTAAAATATGCTTCTGCATCAATCGGAATTAATGCTGCCTTTTTTCTCTTTATCTGTTGAATCTTAAAAGGATTTCTTCTTTATGTAGAGCTGTGGCAAAATATTTTAAAGATAACTCCATAGAAGCTGACTCAAATGAATCAGCGCGAATTAGCTTGAACAGGATTCTAGAGCAGAAGAGTAGGAGGCAATGTTCGAGAATGTTCTTTGAAACTCTGGTAATCTACTAAATTATTTGCCAATCTTAGAGTTAGATGATGTCAATTCATGCGCATGAGTGAAAAAAAATGGAAGTGGTGATTGGTTTCTCTTATTTGGCTTTTGTTTGAGACAGTTTTTTTATCGCTTCATAAAGCAGCTTTTAATACAAAATTAAGGCTTCGTTTGGGACGGCTTTCTTCTTGCTTTCTAAAACAACATTTTAGTATAAAATTTTTAATTTTTTTACGAAAAAGCTACTTTAAGAATCATTAAGATAGCCGTCCCAAATGAAACCTAAAATTTGTATACTAAAAAGCAGTTTTAGGCTTCGTTTGGGATGATTTTTTTACCGCTTCTTAAAGCAGCTTGTTAGTACAAAACTTAAAATTTTTGTATTAAAAAATTACTTTGAAAAATAGTAAGAAAGCCGTCCCAAACGGAGCATTAAGAAATAGTAAAAAAATTGTCCCAAACGAAGCCATAGTTTTTGTTTTTTCTGTTTGAAGATCTTGTGCATCTTGTTTGCTACTGCATTCAACTAATTTTGGAGGCTGTGCGCCTATCAACTCTATGTGATGCTAACAGGTATTAAAGAGCTATAATTTTATCAACGTTGAGCAAGAAGCAGCTTATGGTGATATCCTAATATCTCCAACTCCAGCACTCTTTTCTACCAAATTTTGATGTAGAGTTCCTTTTCCTTGTACAAAGATCGGCCTGTAACTTTGGTAAAGAGACTTCCGCAGTAGGATAAGAAAGCAGTCAGGCTAACAAAAGAATCATTTTGCTCTAAGATGCAGAAGCGCACCAGAAGATCGCATCATATGGTCATGCAGGTGTATATTATTTATGCTGCCTCCATGTCCTTATAAATTATAAGAATATCAGAATGTAATTATGTAGAAAAGCTTCCTTTTGTAATTCCAGATGTTTTATTTGTTTCCTATCCCACTAAAATGTTTTATTCAGCTGATGCTTGTTCAGTTGTTGGATGATAATATTATATTCATAAAATTTAAAATATAACTATTTCATAAAATCCTAATCCACTACATGTAATTTTAATAACCATTTCATTTTCATTTTTTCTTAAACATAGAAGAAAAATCATTTTTGAGAAGAAAAGAGAGGAGAGAGAAAAGAAAATAAAACTTAAGGATTGGAGGTCATAGAATGATTTTTGCCACTCAGTTTTATTATAAAAAATTATTTTCTTGAGGTATACTACCATTAACCTATCTATGATTTCAATAATTTTATGCGTTTTGTAATTTATGCATTTTAATTCGATCAAAATATACATGAGTTGCAAAATCTTGATTTTTAAGAAACTTTAACTCCGTACCTTCTAGTATTTGATAGATGTCATCAATATGCTCATTTTGATTGGAATATTTTAAATTTTTACTCAGTATGTTTTGCATTTTGGGGAAAATAGCCTAATTTGATATAATGGAATGAACATTGGGTGTGGAAACAAACATTTATTATGTTATCTATGTTATGATATATGTGTATGTAAGAAATGATGACTATAAATGATTATATGATTTAGATTTGTTGAAGACATTATCTTGTATATCAGGGTGAGCCAAGGAGTTTTTTTTTTTTTTTTTTAAATAAAGTTTATAGTGTAATCTTAAAAGATATGAAAATGGAGACATAAAGAGACATATTATTATATTAGTATGATATAACACATTAACAAGTTGGAACTCACAACTTTTGATTATATGATATGAAAGTCACCTTACCTAAATGACTTATGATATGACTAATTCTTGTATGGGGCAAAATTTAGGAAGGAGCAATTTTAAAGCGTCATTATGTAAAAGGAGTGTGGTTAATAAAATTTTTTTAAAAGAATAAATTCGCCAAAAATTTTAGCGTAGTTTGAATCATTTGGCTAATTTTGAATGTACCAAATCATTTGGCGTATTCACCTAAAGCAAGTGAGAGAAATGGGTATGAGAGAGAAATGAGGAGAGAAGATAAATTGGGAGAGAAAAAGATAAATTTGAGGAGAGAGAGTGCGGAGTGAGAGAGGGGTGGGGAGGAACTTTTATTACGTCCGGTTTAAGGACGTAAAGGAACGTCCGATCGGAGGCAAAAATCCAGCCAAAAAACTCGGTATTGCTAGATATTATTTGATAATAACGAGGAATACCGCTCTGTGAAGACCAATACCGAGTTATACCGAGCTGTACCGAGAAATACCGAGTTGTACCGAGTTTTTTCTAGAAAAACTCGGTACAACTTTTGTATAACTCGGTATTTGCTCGGTATAACTCGGTATTGGGTCTTCACATGATGGTATTCCTCGTTATTGTTTGGTATTGCTCGGTATTTACTCGGTATTTCTCGTTTTTTGGCGGGAATTTGCCTCCGACCGGACGTTCCTCTACGTCCAGTCGGAGGATGTAGAAAGAGAGATGGGGAAAGAGAGATTTAATAAATTTTTTATATTCAAAATAATTTTAACTAATATTTATAATTAATATTTATATAATATAAAAATAAAATAATCTTTAAAATTATTTTAGAACCTATTAAAAAATAAATTTATAATTAAAAATAAAAATTAATGTGTTATGAATTTAATGATATATCATTAATTATTATTTATACTATTAATTATATGTTTTCTAATACATATTTTAAGTTATATTAATTAAGCTAATCAAATTAATATTTAATTACTAATTATATAAGTAAGTTAAATTAGATAATTAATTTATGCATTACTTATACCGTTATATTATTTATTATTTAATTAATTTACTTAATTATTAATATTTTAAATTATATTAATTAAGTTAATCAATAAGAACTTAGAGGTGTCTAGGGTTTGCCTTTCAACTTCTCTTTTCGTCGTTGCTGTTCGGCTTCGTTGCTTCGCAGGAGGTGTATAGATTGCATGCGTCGCTTCTTCGGCTCCTTCGTGGCTGTTCGACTTCGCTCCTTCGACGACTTTCCCTTCCCGTCGGATCGGAAGTTACGACATTTTGATTGGAAGCAAACAGGAGCTCGCTGGCTGTGAAGTTAACTTTCTCCCTTTCGCGCGCTTCTAATGTTAAATCTCGTTAAAGCCACCGAACCGAGGGATTTAGTAAATCGGGGATTTAAGTCGTAAATCCGGATTCGGCGCTATTGTGTTCACCGGCAGCAATGGCAGATGTGGTGCAGTACCGCCTTGAGCGGATGGCCAACGAGCTTGATGACCTAGAGCGGCGTGGTCTAATTGAAGTGGAAAAGATCAGTGACATCGTCAAGCAGCGGCGGGAATTCGAGTACCGGCTCCAGCGACCGTCGCCGCTGAAGCAGGACTTCCTGGCTTATATTGAGTATGAGAAGAAACTCGAAGCCTACCGCAAGCTACGAAAGAGAATGATCATCTATCAAATGGAGGAGGATGATGAACGGGAGAGAGGGAAGAAGAAGAGAAGAAAGAAGTGGAAGAAGTCAATTTCGGACTTTGCTGGGGTTCTCAGAATTATGGATTTGTACAGGATGGCAGTGATGAGGTATAAAGGAGACTTGGGACTCTGGTTTGAGTACTTGGAATTCTGCAGGGAGAGACGGCATGGTCGGATGAAAGAGGTATATTGCCCCACATTTAAACCTTCTAATATTGTGAAAAAAAAAACTTTGGTTCCAAGAAGTTCATTTTTGATAAATTTGTGAGCTAACTTAGTTTTTCTTGTGATTAATCGGTGTGCATAGCGGAATAAACATACACAAACCTTTCAAGTCAATTCAATGAAAGCTTCCATCATAATCCGTGCATTATTTTTGGATTGATTAATGCTTTACTATCACAAATTTATCATAAGTCATGGTTATTGTTACCGTCCCCATTTGAAATGGAGCCTTTTTTGACATCTACTCTTTACTTTTTGTTGCTCACTCCTCTGCTCTTTGCCTCACTCCATACCATACATATATATAGTTATATAGAAGAGGTCTGCATCAATGTGTTTTGGGAGAGATTATTTTGTGGGGACACTGAAGAACCATCCGATTTTGTCTCTGCGCTTTTACTGTTCACAGAGACAAACCGGACGGTGCTCCCTGTCCGGTGTCCGCACAAAATAATTCATCTTGTTTTGGGGAGTGGTTGGTGCATGTAGCTTCACTTTTCCTTAGTAGGAATTTCCCTTAAATTTGTGAACTTAAGGTTAAAATGGTAAAGCCTGAACAATGACTGGCCCGCATTCATTTTCTTTCAAGTTGTGCAATACTTAATTGTTAACTCCATCTTCTTGGCTTTTTGGGGTGTCTTGTTTATTTGTTTAAACTCTTGCTTGGTTATAGAAACCTGGCATAGAACATATGAAAAACACTCATGTATCGATTCTGACACCATCCAAATGAAATGGGAGTCAATCTATAATGATTCTTTCTACATTTTATTTATATTTTATTGTACCACATCAATATCTATTGATTCCTGACTTAATTCATTTGTCACCTCTAACTTTCTAATAATTTATTTTGATTAAACTAGTAATCATTAATGTACTATTTTTTGCAGGCACTAGGCCAAGCCCTCAAACTTCACCCAAAAGTGCCTGGTCTTTGGATATATGCGGCAGCTTGGGAGTTTGATAAGAACTTAAATGTTGTTGCAGCTCGTGCTCTGATGCAAAGTGGTTTGAGAGCTTGCCCAAACTCGGAGGATATGTGGATTGAGTATCTAAGATTGGAGCTTACATATTTAAACAAATTGAAAGCTCGAAAAGAAGCACTTGGAGAAGATTTGAAAACATTGGAGCGGGGTAGTGTAGAGGTTAGTCAGTGGAAAGAAGACAACAAAGATCTATTTATGTCCCTTGACACTGGAAACAACGAAGAAAAAAATGACAAGGAATCTGATTCGGAAGGTCATGCAGAGAAACAAAACATATTTTGGCAGTTAGGTTCCATGGTTCTCGAAGCTATATACCATGAAGCAACAAAGGCTCTTCCATCAAGTATTAACTTGCGAAAACGTTTCTTGGAAATATTGGGTTCTGTTGATTTAGCTCACTCAGATGAACTTAGGTCAGAGATATTGAAAGATCTCAAAAGAGATTTTTCTCATGATGAACAATACTGGGATATGATAGCTAGACTATATATTTCTGACATTGACATGACTAATGGTGAAGCTAAAAGTGAAGTTCTCTCTAAGTTAAAACAAGCTTTTCAAGTAAGTGTTGTTCATCATTGTTAAGTTCTGCATTTGTTTTAGATTTGAGTATCATGTTCATAATTATCATTTTCTAAATTTATTTTAATTCTCTATCTATCTCGCTCGCTCTTCCTTCTCTCCCCCTCTTTCCTTCTCTATGTCCCTCCAATCTGGCAAGCTTATCATGGTTTAATCCTTAATTTATTGTACTAGTCCCCTCCCAGCACATTCATATTATTTTGTCTGTGTTTATTTATTTAGTTTATTTTGTACTACAAAAAAGGCTATATAATACCAATTGTCTTACATAAAAAGGGGTGGAGGGAGTTCAATGGGACTTGATTTAATGCACTTTAAGAAGATATTGTGTTTGTATAGTGTTACACTCAGTGGCGGAGCCAGAAAATTTATTGAGGGGGGGCCTAAATTATTTTATTAAAATCTTCCCTCAACTTTTTTCATCCGGGCTTGAGACCGGCATAGGCAGTTTTAAAATTTTTGGTTTAAAAAACAAACTAATAAACATAAATAAAATACACTTACAATTTATACCTCCTGTTCTTCATATTTTGAAATAACTGAATAATAATATCATTATCAATACAATCTAAAATTTCTTTTTCAATATAACCGATTAAAGTATCGTTCATCCACTGATCTCCAATTCGATTGCGTAGCCGATTTTTAATGATTGCCATTGCGGAAAATGCTCTTTCAACTCCTGCTGTTGCAACGGGTAGTACTAATGCCAACTTCAATAGCCTAAAAATAAGAGGATATAGTATTTCCTTCCTGGTTTGAACCATTTTTTCAGCAAGACTTCCTATATCCTTTAATAATGAAAAATTGTACATCAAGCCGCATATCCATAATGTAAGTTTCCTTTTTTTTTTGTTATCCTAACCAAGTAAATAAGAAAATAATATAATCAAACATAATATTGAGATTTGAGATTAGATCGAACAAGTTCAAGTTTTGATTTTTTTTTTATCCGAAACAGTAAACAGTAATATTGAACACTAAAGAGTATACAATAGTAAATAATTTTCTTTACTTAGGAAAAAAATCTATAACAAAAAAACAAAGCACAGTAAAAAAAAAAAGAGAGCTTACGTGTGCCGGCTGTGCAGCTCTAGAATTTTTTACTTGGGGAAAAAATCTGCATAGGTATAGAATATTTGTTAATATGATGAAAACAAAGAAAAAGGTATGAATTCTTAATTAATGATATTAATATAAATATTTTTTCCCTGAGACAAAACCGCAAAGGTATAGATTTCTTACCTGCAGTGCTGTGCTTTTTTTTTTTGCGGAGGGGGCACGTGCCCCCGCGGGACCCCTCTTCTCTCCGCCGTTGGTTACACTGGTGGATGGAAACATTCAAGTATTTGTTTATTGAATCATATGGGTAGTTGTGAAGAGGTATGATGGTATATGCAATCTTTAAATCTTGCAAATGCATTAGGACAGACAGAAGTTAGTCTGAAGATTAATTGAAAGCAAAGGCAAGGACATTTGCATATGAATAAGGATCAGAAACATGTAATACGAATAATAGGCTAAAAATGGAAAAGTTTTTGTAGATGTTCTTTTGCTTTTGGAAAGCCAGCACAGAGCAGAGCTTCTATGATGCACGAACCTGACATAAAATGCTAAATATCATATGGTATGAGGTTGCACTAATCTTGAATTTTTTAAGTTAATATATTATTTTAATTAGCAGAAATTGTAGACATAAAAAATGAAAAGTAAAAGTTACCTTCCAGGGAAGGGCAAGAAATAATTGTAACCACACAACAATTTCAAACTTGATAGATTTCAAACTGTGAATTTAAGATGTACTTTCTTGGATAATACATTGGGATCAATGTAATGTTATGAACTTCTCATTGGTTTGTTAGTGGGGCGGGGGACTCCAATTCCTATTGAATCCTACCACAAGTTTCTTTTTAAGGTTTAGAAATAGATGCCATGATTAGCATCTGCACTTTACCATAAGTTATTTAATCTGCATACCCTGCAGTATGAACTAGCTTTATCAAGCCAAAGAGATGAAGGAACAAGTAGATCCATAGATTGATGTGAAGAGAAATTCCCAAAACAAAGTAACGGCTAACAAAGAGGGGCTGATTGGCAATTGTTTCCAAGTGTCTTTTTTGTGTGTCTTACGGTGTTGGAAATTTTATAGTAGAGTAAAAAGAAAGATATACCAAACTGTGTGTTCACATGTTTTCATGAAGTGTCTCAGTATGCAAGCGGTTAATGTTGTGTCCTGTGTGATACAATAAGCTTCTAGTAATATAAATATATCATTATAGTCCAGCAATTTGACGATGAAGTGGGTTTCATCACTAATGGTGTTTGACTAAAAATATAACCTTCTAATTATGTTTCTCCTTCTATGAGAAGCATTATTCAAGTTAGAGTGGTTGATTAATAATGCTCCGTTATGAAATTCTACCTCAGCATGACAAAATTAAGCATCTTAATCTATTCCACATAAAAAAGGGGATATCTAAAATACTTGTTAGACCTAATGTCGTCTTGTTAAATTTGTGGGGTTTCCCAACACGATTGCTATGAACTAGTTTATGTCCGATACTGCTGTACACTAGCTTTGGATAAATAATATGCTTAAATGAAGGAGTGGATCGTGAAATGGAGGAAGCGATGGGTGAATTGATTTTTACACTGAATTTCATCTTGTTTGTCTTAACCAACCATATTGTTATTTGTATCTGCTTTATTTGTGTCAAAGATGATGTTTTTTGAAAGCTCAGGTGCACCAACTGTCTAAAAATACCCATCTTACTATTGTTAGTTTTTTTTCTTGTTCACAGATTTTTGAGTCATTCCGCATTGTTAGTCTTTAATCTGTAAAATTGCTATTTTTTCATGGTTAATGTGCCAATGCTACTGTTCTTGGAAGCTGGGTGACTATCTATTGCAGAATGCTCATCCAATGTTGTCCAATTTACAGGTTTATGAGGAGGCTTTTAATGTTTTACCGTCTGTCAAGATGTTTTCCCTCTTTGTGAAGTTCTGGATTGATGTGGCATGTCCTGAGAGTATGGTGCATAATGTTGGGCTTGAAGTTTCGGAGTTCAGTTTGTTTCTGAATAGAGCATATGAAAAAGCTGAATCAACTGGTTGTCTTATTGAGGATCTTGCTTACCAGTACATTTTATTCTACTTGCAAGCTGGAAAAATAGATAAAGCAAGAAAAGTGGCTGAAAAGCTCAGCAGTGGTAAACTTTCAGAGGCTACCACTGTATGGTTGCTGAGGATTTCTATAGAGATAAAATGTCTTGCAAATAAAACTACTTCCATGAGTAATGATGATCTCAACTACATATTTCAACTCCTTGAACGTGTGCTTAATAGGTTCTCTCTTTCTAAGGCTGAGAGCTTGTGGTTCATGGTACGTGACATAAGCTCCTTTTCTCATGTTTTTTCCACTTACTTTTTTCCTCTTTTTTCTCAGTAGTTATCCTAAAAGGTTGATTGATATTGTTACATATGCATATTAGTTTTTCAGTCATTCTTGCCTACTTCATCCATTTATGCATCAAGAAGATAGAAACTTCATTGATAAGTCAAGCAGCTAGAATGAATATGGAACGATTAAGAAGGAAATGGATAAAACAACTGTAACCTGATTAGAAAGTTAGGTAGTGAGAATTAGAACCTCATGTAGAACTTAATTGCAATGAGTGGAGTATGATGATTTACAAAGCTGACTCCAGATGGTTAAAATAATTTTAATGATGATGTTGGTATCATGTATATGTTTTAACCATCTTCTATTAGCCTTTAAGCTCAAAATATATATTTTTTATTTAATCTACAACATGAAAAGTACTTGTATATCTAGTATCATAAGCATCATAACTATATAACTGCCGAGCAGGTAGAAAATGTGGCTGAACTAACACCTTGTGGATTCCCCCACCCCACCTTCCCGCAATCCATAAAAGAAAAGGTTCCGTTTCCTGTCTATTGCATAAATAAAAAGTATCAAACATGTGCTAATTATCAAGAAAATCCCATCTGAAATTCTAGTGAAAATTAAGCTTCTCCTATCATATAATCAAAATCATCCAAATAAATTATTCAATGCAACTAATGTATGATGAGTGATCATAAATTTGGAGAAATCTTGTATGTCACCTGGTTTATGAGATTGAAGAAATGGATTGTTTTATTCTTGTATTGAAGATTGTAGCAAGGATATCTTAATAAGAATAAGTTGGTTATTTTCCTCCTAAGACAACCAAAATTCATCAATATTTATCTATTACCATCACCCGATACTTCCACAATGTTAACTGGCACATTCCCGTGAGAAAAAACTCATCCAATATCCAAGTAAAAACTCCAGGCTAGTGATGATAACCTTCTACTAAGTACTAATATATTTATGCACATGAAGGGAGAATTTTTATTTGGATATTTACTGGATTTTGAATAATGGGAATTTCCGGTAGTCATTGAAAGTATATTAGGTACTGGAGTTATCTCCTAAATCATGCATTTGATATTTTTCTGCTGGGTTTCTGATCCTTCTGGATATCAAGCATTGCTTTTAAAAAACCTGCTTCAAGGCTTCCCTTTTTGAGGTTTGATGGGAGTCTGTCTCTCAAGGCGAATCAAAGCAATGAACGGAAAGTTATATAAAATTGAAGCTTATGCTTCCTGCTTCACTTGAAAACTTTAATAGCCTATGTTTTGTTATGTGTAAATCATAATCAATCCATCACATTCATATTCCAAGTTAGATGCTTCACTTGCAATTAACATCTCATCCTTGATTTTCTGTCCTTTTAGGAGTTCCGACTTTATTTATTTAAACACATTATTACTCCTCACTCGAGATTTTTTTAAGGAACACAGGTTTTCATCTGTATTGAACATTCAAGCTTCTCTTATGATTTGTATGAAACTCAAGTTGATATTGTTCGGGGATAGAAAGAGAAATAATTTTCATATCCCATAATTGTTTTGACCAATCTTATATAATCCTTATTAAGAAAAAGATCTAATTGGTTCTTTAATTTTTTTCTCTGAAGAACCAAGTCTTCCACTATAGGAAAAGTATTAATTTGGTCCTTTGACAATTTAAATAGAGTCCAAAATATTAGTTCGGTGAGATCATTTAGGTCACTATTTCAAAAGCCAAGGGACTGAGGTGAGATTTTTAAATAGACGGAGACCATTGTAGCTTTTCGTAAAGAGTCAGGGGACCTTTATGATCCTTATCTCGACCCTTATTTCTTATCCAAGACTTAGTAAACTAATAACTTCAATCAAGGCCCTTGTTTCATCATAATATATAATGAAATCACACAGTTATCTCTCTATATATGTATTACTTCTTTTCTTTATTTTTGGATCTTTTTATATTTATCATATTTTAGTTAAATTTAAATCCTCTTAAACTTTTGTAAGGGATTTGAACCTTTGCCTTTTCTTTAGAAGATTGAAGTCTTCTATTTTAACCATACTACTCACAAGCTTTTTGAAGTGTTGAATGATAAAAAAAGTCGACTACAGGTTATGAATTTTGTTTTTGCTCATGATCTTTTTTTTTTAACACTCATTTTTCTAAGAATTCACAGATTAAAATATCTTACATTTGGCTCTTATTAAATCATTTAGCCAGTTTCATTTTGACATTTGTTTGATCATTCTCAAATGTTGAAATTAATAGATAGTGTTCATTGGGAGAAAGTTAATTACAAGAATTACATGTTAATGGAAAGAGTTTAGTTTTCTTAAAAGCAAACCATTTTATTTTGCTGAAATTTTGAGAAAAGAATTTTTGTTGCTCTATCAGAAGATCCGAAATTCAAACATCTTGTCAGACGCTTCTCTAGCTTTAAAAAAATATTACATTTTTTAGCTTTAGAATATGTAGCCCATGTCACTTCTCTTATCAATTGTATGTTGATTAAGGCTGGATTTGATTGGCTATTTGAATCTATTGAATAAATTTTCCTTGTCATTTGAGTACTTATGAGCTTATGTGTGAGCTTTTAGTCATATTTGTGAGGACACATGCAAAAGAAATATTTTGAAATGCCCGTTAAAGATTTTAAGTTAGGTTTGTGGATTTTTTATTGTGGATGGAACCATGCTGTTATTTCATCTAAACTAATCATCTTTCGGTAATTAAAAAAATAACTGAGCTTTTACAAATTTAATGGACATTGTACGAAGATTAATTTTATGCATTTTTAAAAAAAAAAACCTCGATGCAGCTTCTTATTCCATCTTGCTTTGCAGGCCTTGAAGGTTTTTTCATGTCACAAAACTTATTTTAAAAGATTGGTGAAGATTTTAGAGGGAGCTTTAGCCAGATGTAGCAGTAATTGTGAATCTTCAGTTTCTGCTGCTGTCGTGGATCGAACTCTCCAAAGTGATGGTATTCTGAATGCAAGAGTTCTTTATAATGGGTAAGTTTTCAGTTGTTTTATTTGATTTTTTATTGGATATTTCTCTATATACGTCTAGGACCTTCAGTATTCTAGCAATTGGCCTTAAAAATAGATTCTAACTTGCTTTGTATGAACTGAACTATAACTCAGACTGTTTTTTTGCTTCTACAACATAATTAATTCATGCAGCACGTCTGGTAATTAGATTTTTTATTTCGACGCATTTAATGGTGCAGTTGAAAATTATTTTTGTGGCGGTCGAAGCTTGATTTATAGAATTTATTGAATATCACTGGGAGAGGATCATGCAAATTATTACTTTGCAACAAATTATCTTAATACTTAGCCACATGAATCACTCAATTATAATATTTGATTGAGGTTGTCCTTTTAACCTTGTGCAAAGTTGTTTAAAATAGTGCATATCCCAATGTTTCTTAACAACAACAACATCAAGCTTTTATCCTACTATGTGGGGTCGGCTAAATGAATATTTTTTCTCCATTGTGTCATTTTAATAGTTATTAAATTCTTATTTAAATTTAATAAAGAAAGGTCATTTCTAATATTTTCTAACCAAGTCTTTTTAGGTCTACCTCTAGCTTTCTTAACATAAGTCAAATCTAATACATCTACTTTTCTAATCGGGTCAGTGGAAGGCCGCCACTTTATGTGACCAAATCATCTAAGGCGATTTTTTCTAATATTATCTTCCATTGGTGCTACTTTATTTTTTTCACGTATATGCTCATTTCGTACCCTATCTCTAAGAGTAAAGCCACTAATTCACCTGGGCATGGGCATCTTCATCTCTGCAACACTTAACTTAATATTATGCTTATCTTTTCATGACCAACATTCTGCACCATAAAGCATTGTAGGTCTCACCACCATCTTATAGAGTTTTCCCTTTAGTTTGAGGGGACCTTTCTATCACACAACATGCCCGATGCAATCCTCTACTTCAACCATCCAACTTAAATTCTACTAATAATATCCTCATCTATTTCAGCATCACTTTGAACAATAGACCCAAAATATCCTCATATTATTAATGACTTGATCACCCAAAGTTACAATCCCCCAACTAGATCTATTATTACTAAAATTTTAGATCTACTAAAACAAAAGCCTTTAGACTCTAAGGTTGACCTCCATAATTCAAGTTTACCTTCAACTCTCTCTCTCTAGTCTTATCTACAAGAAGAATATCATTAGTAAAAAGCATACACCAGGGTACAACCTCTTGCAAATGTCTAGTGAGAACATCCATGACTAAAGCTAAAAGATATGGACTTAAGACTAATCCATGATATTATCCAACTGAAATAGGAAAATACTTGGTCAAACCAACTTGTTTTTGAACATAAGTAATAGCTCCTGCATACATATCCTTATGACTAGATTATAAGCATTATTACCCCTTTCTTTTCTAAAACTCTCCATAGTACTTCTCTTGAAACTTTATCATATGTTTTTTCTAAATCAATACATATCATATGTAGATCCTCCTTATTCTTTCTATGCTTCTCCATCAAACCCTCAATAAATGTATAGCTTCCATAGTAGACCTACCCATCATGAATCCAAGTTGATTTTGAAAATCATTAGTATCACGCCGCAACCGATGTTATATAACTCTCTCCCATATATAATTTTAAAGTATGACGTATTAACTTAATTCCTTTATAATTTGTACAATATTGTGCATCATCTTTATTCTTAAAAATATGAATCAATACACTTATTCTCCTCTCACCTGACATCTTTATAGTCTTCAAAATAATATTAAAAAGTTTTGTAAACCGAGAAATTCCTTCTCTCCTAAGCATATTCCAATGTTTCTTAGCATGTTAATAAATGCCATTTGATACTGTTTGGGTGCACAATACCATGGTATAAACATGGTTGGCATTAAACTAGAAAATTGAGTGATAACCTTTTATATGCATCTGGAATAATTTGATCAATTAAGTATAAATACTTTCATATGGAATAGAACGAGCTTGTCTATAGAAGATGACGAACCTTTCATCTTAGGTGGATTTAAGTGATGGTTGAGTCTTCCTGATAAGAGAGCTTGAGAAGAGGGATGTAAGGTTAAATATGATTCTTGATAGGAAGCAGTGGTTTGTTTATGTCAAATGATACCTCTGTGATGTTTGGTTAAATATGATTCTTGATTGGAAGCAGTGGTTTGTTTATGTCAAATGATACCTCTGTGATAGCAAAACAAGCCATTAGCAACGAATACTGTTTATTGCAAACCATGAAATATCTATCACAAATGGTGATTTGCAATGGATAGCCTGCGAGTCCTTCTCAACCAATCTATCACAAAATGCTCGTCACAAAATTTTCATGACTGAAGAAATTTGCGTTGCAACTTTGTATTGGATAATTTGTTGCAATATCATTCTGGCATGTTGCGATTAATTTGCAAAGGATTACAACCATTGCTACTTTTGCAACCTATTTTCAATGAAATGCATTAACATATTCATGAATAATTGGCAAATTTTTTATGGATTTGTGACAATTTTTGTCACAAATCCTTCACAAACATCCAAGTTCGTAGCAATTCCATCATAAGTCGATCACAAATTTTGTATCGAAGAACAATTATTTCATAAAGCTGTAAAAAATTTATGAGAAAAAAAAAATTGTCATATAACATTTTCATTTTAATATTTTATGCACCTACCATCAAAACACATCTTTGCACATCATTGCAAGTTTTTTACAATTACAAATGAAGTACAAAAAATTTACAATACCAATAATCTCACATATGCATAATTTAATAAGCATATATATATATATATATATGAAAGTGCATATGAACATATTTCATACGTTCCAGTATTTGGAACAAACATTGAAGAGTGAGTATAAATAAAATTATAATTTAAAATATTTTAAATCAAACCTTTCTTTGAGTTGCCTATCGCCTTCATCCATACCTGGGCATCAACATCAGTCTGACAGCTAGATGATAAGGGCAACATTATAATATTCCATAAATATAAAATAACTATCAATTATAAAATTAATTTGTTCTTCTCATATAATTATTGATTTGTATTCATAAGCTAATGCTATACATGCAACTCTAATGTTATTATGCATCGAAAAACTCATATGTTACCTTATTCATATGCTTCCTCCTGAATAGACATGCTTATATGTATATCTTTTTCCCTAAACATCGCCTACATCACAAAAGCAGTAACGTATATGCTAAGAAGAAATTACATTTGTTACTATTATAATTCAATATTCAACCAACTTACCATGCAGTCAAAGCAAATGAAAAATATGATTGAGCTACCGGTGTGATTTGACTAGCCACCCTCCATTACGAGGCAGCTTGAATAAGCTACTAGCAATAACTCTTCCATCCATCCATGCGTACCATGTTCCATTTATCAATCATAAACCACCAATATAGATCAGTGGATGTTGAAATTGCGAGTGAAATTTTTCATTAGATATTTGAATATAAAATAAAATATACATGATAGAATAAACAGGATTAAAGTCACCAAAAAGTATTGCTATTTTCTCTCTTCCGATCACGTGGAATATCTCTTCATGGTATACATACTACATAGTTGTGTCAATCTCCATACCTCAACAGGAAACTTTGAAATTGCTAAACATTTAATAATTTAAAATGTAATTAGTTAATGAATTAATTATATTAAGAAAATGGAATCTAAATCATTTAACTGTTTTTAAAAATAAATATAAGCCAATTTTACTAATCAACTTAGTTGTCACACTTGGGGCCATATAAGTTTCTTTGGATCCTCTAAAATTTCTTATCTTTTGCTCTATTTGTTCATCTTCCTCCTCTGCATTAGCAGCCTTCTCTAAGCCCTTAACATGCGACGGTGAATAATCTCTCTTGTCACTGTTGAATCTGCCATTGAAACTGGGCTCTCTTCCTTTGGTGGCCATATATGTAATATGCACATTAAATTTAAACTTTAATTCTTAAGCATTTTGATGAAGGTCTAGTATTATAAGATGATATAATAATATATCATAATTAATTTTGGGCATTAAATATGTAGGC